AAACTTACTTTCAGCGGCCGCGAGAAGCAACTTCGACCACATTCTTTCACTTTACACTTACTTCTAAAAATTTCCTTCTCTGCTCATCCTATTCCCCCACCCCCCAAACCTCTATAACCACAGTGCTTGCAGGACAGAATGCTGGGACTAGGGCTATATGAGTGGGGCTAAATAAGCTTCTTTTGCCGACATGCCTTCGTAGCTCAATTGGTAGAGCGTTAACTATGCTAATGCCTTCCCTGCTCATGTGGGTCCGAATCCCGCCGAGGCCACAAATTTTTCACAGTTGGGTCAATTGAATTATTTAAATCTGCCAACCCCCTCCTAATAACTGTGTTTCTGGTTACTTATTAAAAAACTGTACTAGACACTCAGGTTTGAAGAGTTGAGATTTGCGGGGTGGCAGTTTGAGTGTCGGGGGCATGCGGCCTAACTAATTGCACGTTGGTCACAAATCAATAGAAGAAACAATCGTTTACACGCGACAAGCTGTACAGACATATGGGCTTAGAGCGAAATTTGGTACAACTCTTCGAGGTTGGCGGCTTCGTACCTGGCCATGTACAGCAGCTCATTTTAAGAGACACTTGCATGTGACAGGCAGGACTTGCAACTTTGGCGAGGGAAGATAAAATTGTTGCCGCAGAGTGGGCCTTTAAAATCGCGCCGACGGCTAGTTCACAACTCGGTTCAAGTGAATGCTGTAATTCTTCCAAAAGCACCTGCAAGTGGTACCTCAACCAAACTGCCAGTGAGTTAACGTTCTTAGTAAGTATTTTGTGAAAAATGTGCCAAGTATTTGTCTTGGCCACCGAGCCATCATCCGCCCAGCTATGAACACCGACGGTGGCTAGACGATCAACTGGCCAACCAGGTTCAACCATTCACCATGACTACTCCACGATCGATATTCAAGTTTGAAGCGCCAACCAGGCTAGCATACGCTGGCCCCTCAACCGCACCGTCTCTGCGCTTCTAACCATCGTGTTTTTTGCTGACGGGTTGTGCATAGGGCGAGACCGCGGAGTTACGCGGATGGCATTTTCGTCTTCTCCAGCAGTACGTGAATGTCAATCTCTCTGCAAATAAGGTTTTATTTTAAATTACCCCAGTTTTAAGGAGATTTAGCACATCTGTAGCCGCTCCGGCGTAAACAGTCAACGTATACGATATTTTGTCCGTATCCACGATCTTTTTCATTATGTCCACCGAGAGACCTGTGAGATCAGAGAAGTCGGCCTTCTTGGATAGGGCGTCGATTTGCAGTTTGCCATTGTTTATCATGACAAAGGGCGTTGCCTGAAAAGGGTAAAAATCGCTTTTTAGTAAACCAACCACCAGAGGACTTATACGTCTTCTTGGTGATACAACTGGATATGCGGATCCGACACGCGACATGAACTGTAGTTGTCGAAGCTGGGCTGTGTCCAGCAGACTCCAATAGAAATTTTTATAACAAATCAACCATGCTTACTTCTACGAAATAAGCAGGTATTAATGTAAAATAAATGAGCTTATGTCTTGCAGATAAGTTACTGTTATTGAATTTAGGTTTCTCGCACTCCCAGAGGAGGGGACATACGCGATCGCGCCAGACGTTTTAACTGTAGGAAGATCAGCTACTTTTGGAATTTTAATAAAACTTCTCACAAGGAAAAGCTAATAATAACTTATGCTATATGCATAAAATGAGTGCGTCAACAATCTAGTTTTGTTCAATAGGAGAAGAAGCGACCACTGGAACAAGAGTTTTATTGTCCTGTCCTCTAATCTAGTTTTGTCCCTAACTTGCATAATTTCCCTATTGTGTAAGGGAAGCGGGGACTCTCACGGACAGAATGATATGCTGCGACCTTTAAATTCAGACACGTTCGTTCAGCTGTCTAGCCACCTCAGTTTCACTCAGTACTTATGTGAATTTACCCATAGTAGTTAATTCCTGACACACAAGATGAGCCCATTAAGCTTGCACTGACTATACCGGTTCTTATTTGTAATCATCCCGCAGAACAGTCCTGACAGCACTGACTCGCAAAACTAGTGCTAGGCATTGCACTAGTTCGAGGGTCGAAAATCCCGCGTTCGAAGGCTGCTCACTCGCCGGAATTATGGCTTTGTTCGTCTGAAACTTCGAATTCTTATTGGAGTCCATCGTCAGATCCATAATTGGCAACGAAACAAGCAACAGTTATAGGGCGGGGTAGGGGACAATCAAACACCAGGACGGCCAGTCTGGAAGTGACCGCCCAGGGCCCTGTGTGCCGACGCCAGATCGATGAATCGATTGACTGAGTTCTCATCGGAGGCTAAGGCTCCAATCCATTACTGACCTGTCTTGCTTCCAGCGTGGGCGATTATCTTTGCGGCTGCAAAGTAAAACCCCAGAACCGTTCCGTAGGTGTGCACAGCCATTTGTGAAACTCTTCCACCTCGTCTCATAATTACTTACTTACACTTGTACTTGTTACGGCCTGATCTAGCTGGGCTCGATTATATCCCGGATAGTACTTCGCCACGTGTGGCAATCCGTAACAATGGGCCTGAATATTTCCATGCACTCTCTTTGCCAACGCCGGAGACCGAATGCTGAAAGTCCAAGAACCATTTCCATGACCTGACGGACTAAGTCGAGCCAGGTTTTGAGCTGACCCCCCGCCCCCCTTCTTTGTCGTCTCCAGTTGGGTGGCGGTGTCGGATCAAGAGCATTAGTAATAGGCTCATGAAGTTGACGTTGAAGAATTATAAAAGACGAAGGCGTTCTGATCACCGGAATCGTAATTTTATTCTTCTGAGCTTTCGGGCTCTTGCGGGAGTCCATCGTCAGAGATAAAAGCGTCCACAAAAAGTAAGCAACAGTTATAGGGGGCAGGAGCCACGAGAGGCAGCAAAATGCGAGCAACTACGTTTTTTGCATCAATGCCTGAACGACGAACTGATTGATTCTGTGAAAATTCAAAATGCTGTGTTCTATAATTGTTATCTTATTCATGCAAAGAGAGGAAGCAGTTGAAAGGCTCTACCGAAGTTTATTTGTACGAATAAATTCTGCTGTTTTCGCTTTCCTTACAATGACAAAGTCAAACTCTACTCTATGATAGAGAATTCTACAGACCAACACAAAACTCAGGGGCAAAAGCAGCAGAAAATCAGTTAAACAAGTTACTTGGAGAATTCAAACTGAGAACGACCGGCGCCTAATAAAACAAACAGATAATGCCCTGGCTCGCTTCTATAGCCTGCCAAATATAAATAAATCAAAGTTCCATTGCGGCCAATCGTTGCCATAAAAGGCAGCCCCATCTATAATTTAGCAAAATGGATGTACTCGAAACTAAAATTCCTCCAAGACAACTCTGATGCCTCAGTCCACTCAGTCTCCAAATTCCTGACAGACCTCCATGGCCGAAGGATTCAATCGGAAGAAACTATGGTTTCCTTTGACGTGAAATCATTATTCACAGGGTTTGGCACGAGACGTCTTGCGTAGGAAGCTCGAGGACCTGTACGACGAAACATAGAGTTCGCTTAAAATTGAACACCTCATGAGGCCTTTCGAATTTTGCCAAAAGACATACTTCACCTTTGCAGGAGCGACTTAGGAACAGATCAAGGGAACTCCAATGGGCTTCCCAATCTCCGCCTTAATAGCAGAATTGGTCCTACAAGAACGGGAAAAGATTGCCTTCATCCAACAGCCCCCGATCTTTTGGCACCGTTATATTGACGACAAGTTTTTCATCGTCAAAAGGAACATGCTGCAGAATTTTCATGATCTTCTTAACTTGACCCTCCCAGATATACAATTCACGAAGGAAGAAGAAAAGGATTACCAGCTATCCTTCCTTGATGTACTCATTATGCCAACTTCCAACGGTGAGATAGAAAAAAACAGTTTACAGGAAGGTGTCAAACACCACACAGTTTCTCAACTTTTACAGCAATCATCTGGTAGCTCACAAACGAAGCTACATGAGAACGCTGTTCAAGAGTCCAGACTCACTACAGTAGCCTGGAGAAAAAAGCGCTGGAGGCTTGAAGTTTTCGCGACTAGTTTATGCGGAATGGCTATCCGAAGGCCTTCATAAGCCGATGCCGACAGGCCCGCTCTCAGGGGACCCAACCAGAGCCAGCTCCAACGATATGGCATGCGCTGCCATACATCAAGGATGTGTCGGAAGCGACCGAGC